TGGAGGTATTTAAAAGATGTGTAGATGTGGTGCTTAGGGACATGGTTCAGTCGTGGACTTGGCGGTGTTAGGTTAACAGTTGGACTCGTTGATCTTAAAGGTCTTTTCCAACCTGAACGATGCTATGATTCTACGATTCTTAGTCAGCACTGGAGAAATACAACTGCTGCGATGGTTTCCAGTGTGCATCAGTCAGGAAGCCGACCATGCTAAAATTGCCTCATGCATCATGTCATGTTCACACTGATTTACATAGCTCAGACTATCAAGCTTCTAGCATGACTACAGTGCTAGCCACAGATAATACTATTCACTTGCTGTCCTGAATTGGGTATACTCCTAACATGGTACCCAGGGAAAAGAAAATGAAAGGTTTTGCCCACAGCTTTCGGATTTGCACAGAACATAATCGATGTTAACATAGTATGAGAAGGAAAAATGTACAGATCCCAAAGAGGCGAGATGACCATTCCAGTAAAGAACACTGCTTTTCACTGTCTTTATACAGAGAATTTGTGATGCCATTGACTTTGGCAGTGTTTATGTTCTATTGTTATACTACACATTTATAATGAAAATTGTCCCACAAAAGAGCAAGCTGTTTGGATTTCTGGTAAATTGCTTATTGTATGTGGATTTGTTTTGATTTTTTGATTGGTTGTTGTTTTTTTTTTTCCTTTTCCTTTGTTTATGTTAAGATTATATAGAACTTTTGAGTTTGTAGTAAAAAAAGAAAAAAAAACATTGTCAAATACCAAGCGTGTTTGAGTAATACTGATGGTGCTACTCCATGGAAAAAACCCATGATATTCCTCTAGAGACACCTGATCGTAAAAAGCCAAACAAAAATCTTTTTTGAAATAAAAAAAGATTGCATTAAAGAAGAAAAGATTCTGCTATCCCTGATCCAGAAAGTAAAACGGCAAGGGGAACTTTGTCCATAATACTGAGCATTCCCAACACTGACAAAATGAGAAACCTCTAGAGACACAGTGGTAAAACTTGACTAGACCAGATCCTCAAGGGCAACAAAGTGTTGAGAAAAATATGAAATGTTTTGATTATAGAAAGCTCTCTTTTACTCTAGCACTAAACAACAGCCAGACAGATAGCAGACAGAAAAAAAGAATTTACACAACAAATTTTACTATGAGGTATGATATAGTATCCCCAAAAGGTCAAACAGATTTTCAGTGAGAGTGGTGAAAGGCAATATCTGAAGGAGCAGTTCAATATGCCTAAATTGTGTGATAATTTGGTGGGGGTTTTTTGGTATATAAATGTGGCATTCCTAAGAATGGAAGTCCAACAATTAATCTGAGTATCTCAGCCCATTGGAAGTGGCATATTTTATTGCAACCTATTTTCCTCTGAAGATAAGATATTTTAGCAGCAGATTTCTAAGGAATGTATCCACCAAGTAGGAATTTGTATGCTTCAGTCACTTGCTTTATGTTTAGTGCCTTTCTTTTTCCTAGCACGTGGCTTCAGTGTTGCCCTATCTACGAAGCAGGTCTTCTTGCATGTGCTGATCCAGCTGAATGATCCACAGTGGGAAAATTCTGTAGCAGCCTCTTTATCTTTCTGAAAATCTTTTCTGCTGAAATTACATCTATGGCCTAATTGAGTTAATCTTTTCTGGGTCTTTTTTTTGTTAATTCTGCTGAAGGATCTGCGACAATACCTAGCAAACCTAGCTGAGCAATGCAGTGCTGACAACAATGGTGCTGACCTCCCTGTGGTCATAATTCTTGATAACCTCCACCACATCAGTTCACTAAGTGACATCTTCAATGGTTTCCTCAACTGTAAATATAATAAATGGTAGGTAGTAACTCTTCTCTCCCCTTTCACACACCATTTGCAATTAAAACAGTAAAAACTGTTTGCTATTTTGCAAAATAAAATGTCCCAGTGGAAATGTAGACTCCCATAGGCTGTCAGCAAAGTCCTTATGTGCTTGAGCAATTTTAATCCTCTTCAGCCAAGTACTTAGGTGTCTGTGTCACTTTATTTCTATGGCTCTCATGCACCTCCGTGAGTTGCAAACATGCTACAGAACTTAAGGATGTATTTAAATGCTTGACTGAATTAGGGTCTTATCCCTCTCACCCTGTCAGATCACACAAGCTCGTTAGTACCATGAGGACAGCTTATGGGAGAGTAAGAAGAAATGCACTTTATAATAGTGGAATCTGGGATATGTGTGAACCCACAAACCATGGCATGCAGAAGCAGCTGTATATCTGGCAGACTTACACTTCCTACAGTTTTTCTGTAGCAGTGCAGAAGTATGAAGTTTGCTGACTGTTCTTTATTGCCAAGCAAGAACAAAAATAATGGTTTCTGGAACTTTTACTGGCCTATAACATTGGTCATTTCTGCTGTAAAAGTGTCGTCACAGGGACTTTCCTTCAGAAAAATCACTGCATGCTATGTCTTACTCATGAGATTCACTGGCTTCTGAAATTAAAACTCTACTGCAAAATTATGAGGTACATGAGGACAGGGTTGCCTCATTTATTTCTTTATTACAGATGACTACTGGTAAACTACATATGTGCAGAGAGCGCAATCATACAAAAATAAACATCAAAAACAGCGTGCCTCAGAAATACTTTAAATCTAAGACTACAGTACATTCAGAGACTCTTTTAAAATTGGGCTAGTGCAGATAAGGAGAAAGAATATTCTCTGAATACATGAATGGATTCTCCCTCAAAAAAGCTTACTACTTTTCTCTTTTCAGTCCCTATATTATTGGAACCATGAACCAGGGAGTTTCTTCTTCACCAAATCTGGAGCTGCATCACAATTTCAGGTACATTCACCCTGTATTTACTGTGGCCCTGTTTGCACAGTTCCCTGCTTCTCAGCCCAGTTCTTCAACAAACGTTGCTCTTGTGTCTCATCACAGCAAAGTATTTTAGCTTCTGTGTCTCTCCTGTACTGATGGGTCTCTGAACGGTGTTGGGGAATGCTGAAAGTAATGAGATACTTTCTGCACCTCTAGCAAGTTGCTGAAGTCGATTGCATCCTTGCATTCCATTTGTCTTCAGCAGTGTCAAAAAAAAATGTAATGATTGTGTTGGAGCAGTGGGCAATGATGTGGTTTGTTGGAGCAGTTTCACACTTGCTGACTAACAAGATTCAGAAGCTTATGACATTACCTTCACCTGTATGTTTAAGTGAAAATTATGTATTTTTGCTATTCATTGCTGCTTCACATTTATCCTTTCTACCCAGGTGGGTGCTGTGTGCTAATCATACAGAGCCTGTTAAAGGTTTCTTGGGCAGATATCTGAGAAGGAAACTGATTGAGACTGAAATAGAAAGGAACATACGCAATAACGAGCTCATCAAAATCATTGACTGGATCCCCAAAACATGGCATCATCTCAACAGCTTCCTAGAAACGCACAGCTCTTCAGATGTAACCATTGGTGAGTCCCTTGGTGGAGTGGTTTGAAATAAGGATGCAGGCTGAGCATTTTAGAGATTTGTAAAGGATATATTACATTTTTAAAAGTTGTCATCTCTCAATGGGAAGTACAACATCAGTGTGGGGAATTTGTCTCATTGCCAGCAAGACTGAAATAAAAATGAAAATTTTAATGAGAGAGTATGTATTTCCTGGTATTTCTGCCTAAAGACTTTCAAGTAAATTATTACCTCAATAGCAACTTTCCTAAGCTTAATTTTTTTCCTGGCTTTCACACTGCAGTATAATTACAGCAATAAAAACACTTGGACAGTCGGTTCAGCAAACTACTAGGTGGGAGATATACATGTACCTGAGGTCTTTTAGTGGAATAGCTATATTAGCAAAGAAGTCATCCTTTTACATAGCTTTGCCTGTAAAATTTGTAAGTGTTTGTCGGGCCCTAGAATTGGATAAAGTGACACTATTTCATTTTTAGTAACAGGAAACTGATAGCTCCCTTATTGTAGGGCTGTATTAGTGTTCTCTTCACTTGAGTTTGCTCCAATACCACTTTTTAATTCTGTGAAGCTTATTTTTAGTGTGTTCCCTAGTTCAACTTTTTTTAATACACAACTCGACTCCTCAGGTCCCCGCCTCTTCCTCCCTTGCCCTATGGATGTTGATGGCTCCAGAGTGTGGTTCACAGACCTCTGGAACTATTCCCTGGTGCCGTATCTTCTGGAAGCTGTGAGAGAAGGACTTCAGGTATGTCATTTGTTTCCCAGAAATTTTTTTTTAATTAGTTTCATAGGCTTTTTCCAACCTACTTTTAAGCAATGCATTGAAGTATGAATGCTGTTGCCTTTGCAAGAAGAAAATCTGTGGAGGGATTATAGAAATCGGCCTTGAACTCCTTTTGACCTGCTCTTACTCTGATGTATAATTTGGTTTTGTCCACCCCAGCACTAGCGTATCTTGTATTTTACGAAGACAGTTTCTCCTCTGTGACTGGTGGAAGGTTCTTCTTTTTCCACTGTATAAAGAGTTCACAGCAATGCTAAGTACAGCTCAAATTGCCTCCCTGACTAAGGTAGTCTCAGCCTACCTCTGCGTGGAAGAGTTAATAGCCCTTACACTGGTCTAAGAAAATAGCTTTCATCTGTGTAATCCTCTTCCACCTATGTACACAGGTATGCACACAGACTTGTGCAGGAAAGCTTGTGAACAGGGATATTTTCACCATTCAGAAATAAAAAGTGTTTACTGGCCTTATCTAACCAGATTGAGATAATTTACTCTTTGGCCCCACTGAATATGAAAGTCCATCCCTTTTTGCCCTTATGTCTTGCAAACCTGCCTGTATCTCCCATAGTTCTTTTTCTCCTTTTTTCTTTCTCTATATGGGCTAAGGTTTCCTCCTGACTCTAATTCTCATTTGGGGTAGCGGTGCGATCAGATCAGAGCGCGTCACAGTTCCCTGTATCCTGTCCTCTCCAGAGCTAGGTGTTAGCAGCAGTTCCATTGACTGTTAATGAACTATTAAAATTTCTTCTACTTTAACAGGAAAAAAGGGCTACAAATAGATTTGCTGTGGATAGCACTGTAAGCTGTCCCATATAGGTTAAGATTTCAGAGCATTCCACATCTTTGGACCAAATCTAAATCTTGAAATTAATCCTTTCTTTCTCCCTGCCCTGCCCCCCAATCTTTATTTGGCTTTCTCCCTTTTCCTTTCTCTTTTATGCACTGCAATTCTATGCCCTCTGAAAAGACGCTTTGTGGAAAGGCAGTTTTTTGCCGCATATGACACTGAAAGAAATTACTGCGTAGTGCAGAGGGGATTGTTATGGACTAGTCAAAGAACAGTGTAAGCAGCTGCGGTTTCTTTGTCACCTTGTATTGACATAGTGACAAACTGATGCGATGGAGGTTTAGAATCTTGCCTGTTGAATATCTCACGCTTCCCTAAAACTGCTTATCTCTCTGGGAGTTACAGAGTGTTTATGCCTTGTGCAAAAAAATGCCAAACATCTGATAGAACAGCCACGGTGAGATTAACAGTGCTTGTTTAGACCAGCTACAAAAATGCAGTGATGTTCTTCATGCTCATATTTCCCCAAGTATACAGGGTACCTACTTAAATGAAAGCTTCAATTCTGGAGCAGAAGATGGCAGCATATAGAAGAAAATATGTTGTTTCATGAACCATTCCAATTTTTGCTACTTTGGATGGCTTCCATAGAATAACATTATTAATAATAAACGGAAATCTTTTATATGATATAATTAGATGTTCCTGGAACCTGGGATGAATAGAAAATGCCTTTCTAGCCTGGTACTTTGCACACTCATTTGTCAGACACAGAATTTACAAGCCATGGTCCAGATTCCAGAAAAGATGTAATCGCTGTTAGTCTCAGATGAGGGGAAGTGCTGCCTACAGCCTGGAGCTAGCCTGCTGCCTCCCTAAGAAATATTTCTTCTTGGCTTGTTTAGGCAGATCCCTGTGATAGCAGCCTAGCATCAGTGCAGGGCAGAAGGAGTCTGAGTATCTCCGTGCATGATATAGAGAACTTGGCTGCCTAACCTGGAGCTCTGGATTCAGCAAGTGCCTGGGAGCAGGTGGTGCAGTGATAAGCACAACTCATCTCTCTGGCTTTAGCACTAAAATCCTTCACTGTTTTACTCCTTTTAGGAGTGCAGCCCATCTAAATGCTCCATGAGTGTGTGCCCTGCCAATTTTATGGTGCTCCTTGGGTTGTGTAAGGCTGTATGAGCTGGGAGAAATCACAGAAAGCCCCGGTGAATGGCTCCCCATCCCAATGTGTCATTGTCACAACTAAAGGAAGTCTGTAAAGCAGCAGCCAAGGGGCTCTCAGTTAACACTTTGGTTGTGAACAGCAATGTGAAGTGTGGATTTTAGTGAGGAAGCTACCAGACCTCCTAAACTTACAATATTCTTGTTCTTCCTTCCTCTGTCTTCCTTCTAGATTCATAACCATTTTTGTGCTTCATAGTAGGGAAAACCTGTCCTTCGTGAATTTCTTCTCTTAACCTTGTGAAAGATCTCAAACTTAAGATGTGGACAGATGTCTGCTTCTGCATCCCATTTTGCTAGGAGAAAAGAACAATCTGTACTGGCACTTCCTAATTCACTTCAAACAAATCCAATTAGCTTGAATGTTTTAGGTAGGCCTGGGTTAATTTTGCTGATATGCCTTAAGCAAATTACCTAAAGGTCTCGTTTCGCATTGTATCGAGAACTTGTGGCTCCCGCTGTTGCCCACAAGTATCTCTAGTTATGGAGTGATTTTCAACTTGCAGCCACTCTGCGTACTGAAGGAGCATTAATGGAGATGAGGTCTTTTGAATGTCTTCTTATATCCAAGTACTAAGCACGTCTGAAAGCAAACCACTTACTAAATGGTTCAGATGTTTTTGATTACTTTTGTCTACCGTTACAACCAGTACTGAAAACTTTGTAGGATACTTACCTGTGTTATATCCATCATATAGATGTACGGTAAGAGGGCACCCTGGGAGGATCCCTCCAAGTGGGTAGCTGATACCTATCCATGGAGCTCTGCATCTCTACAGCATGAGTGGCCATCGCTACTTCAGTTAAGACCAGAAGATGTTGGTTATGAAGGTTATGCATCAGCAAAGGAAGGAACAACCTCAAAGCACGTTCCACAGGCTGATACAGAGGGGGATCCCTTGGTAAGATTTAAACTTTGGGGAAAGGCTTTTCAGTATGTACTTTACTGACACATGTTAAATTGTACACTGTACAGTAAAAAACTATTGTGTACCTGTTCCAAAATGGGCTTTTAAAATGAATCCTACTATAATTTATTAAAAAGGTTGAAAATGAAAGGAAAATCTAGCAGGAGGGCAGGAATCACCATCATGTTAATATGTCCCTAAATTGTTTGCATTTCCCATCTGCCCAGGAATGTATCTGGTCTTCATCATTATAATGTTTGGGTACCACTCTTCAGCAACTTATTAATCAGCTTATTCTAAAATCACCTTTCCAGGTTGGGCAGTCCTTCGTCTACATCCTACAAATGAAGGACTGAGAAACTCGCATTATCTGACTTGTCTATCACAGAGAATTTAGTGGAAATGCAAATTAGCCACCCTCCCATTCCTCAGAACATTTCAAGATAATTGATGACTGTATAACAGTCTTAATGTAAAAGGAATGCAAGTGTGGTGGCATTAAAAGATAAGAGGTTGATTTCCCTCAATGCCATGTGTTGTTTTATTTAAATATGATCCCAAATGTTTGGATTTACCATTGCCTCATCTGATAATGGGCTATTAAATTGCATATATCGAACTGCTGTTCTTGTATAGTGCTTTCTCTATAGACTGCCTTTATCACAATTCAAAACACCATTTCAGAGAACTGTACTCCGGGAATACAGGGAGCCCTTGGAAAAGGGATTTTCTCAGAGGAAAATGCATTTAACTTTTATCAGTGCTAAGACAATGACTCCTCAGCCTCACTGTAGGGTTTGGTACCCAAAACCAGATCTTGCATCCTGAAGTGTAGAAAATCACCTCATTTGATCCTCTGTCTCCCAGTCCATAAGCTTTGGGGTGATTGTTTGACCCTGTGATTTGTACTGCCAGTGAGTGTATTGGCCAGACTTCCAGCATCATCTCCACTAAGGTGAAAATACTTGGGCAGCTCAAGTTCAATATCCCATCAGCCTTGCTCCCTGCACCCTGTGATCGGTATCTGTACCTGGCTAAATATCCAAAGCTTGAAACTTGTGGGTGGAGGGTTTGCCCCTGCCTCCTGCGGAGTTCACAGGGAGACAGACACTACACGTGTGGAATCAGGACAAGCCACATGAAGGCTGTATTATATAGGCACCACATGTATCCTGTATTCTCAAGCATGGATACCTATTAAACCTTCAGCAAAAGCTACCTGATAGCCTTAAAGAGTATTAAATGCTGTTCAGTGCCTAGAGAAAACTTTACAAGCTGTGCAGGTTGAAACCATAGAGATGCAAGGATTCCTGAGCAAACTGGAAAAGGGACTTAACACACAAACACACAAGAATGTCTCCTTCTCTTTGGTTTTTCATTGCCTGCTTTTTTGTAATGACAGTGTATTTGTTCCTTGAAAAACACTAAAGCAATGTCAACATTGCTCGCGGCCCTGAGCATGCTGGCAGAAGCGGATGTTTTATAAATAAAACCCTGATCATTACACAGAGTTAGGCATCAAGCATCCAAGTAATTTTCTGGGGCTTAATGCTGGGTTTTGATGATTTTTCAGATGGGTTTCAGGTTCTAATAAATGTGGGGGCTCTCCTCTCCTGCGTAGGAGGATCTGTTGCTGCTCCCCTGCTGAGGTCAGCCCCTCGACAGCAGGTGGGACTCTTTAATGAACCTGCTGGCCTCGGTCCACCTGTCTCTTGCTCCCTCCCCATCTCTCTCTTGCAGAGGGCCTGTGTTAGTGTGATTATGTTTTCAGTTGCTTTTCCAATGTAGTGTGTCTACGCCATCCAAAAATTATCTGGAAGCTTGACTGTCTCCAAATATGGGCCCAGATGTCCAGCTGTGATATGGCTCCCTTCCCCTGCCGGTGTTGCAGCTGCAGCCGGTCTCACCCCTGAATTCAAGAGAGTTATCAGGCAGCTCCGTCGTATCCCTCTGGCTCTTTGGACCTTTAAACTTCATTTAAAGACCAGAAGGCAATGAAAAGTGTGCCAGCAGGAGCCACTGACACCCTGCCCTTTCTGAAATCCTTTTGTATGGTCCCCTCAGCTAGATACCAGCACACCTCATACAGCAAGAGAGCTTAATTAAATTTTAACGTGGTCACTGCAGCATTAAATGAGATGAGATTATGTAAACATTGCCTTCTTCTTTCAGATGAATATGCTAATGAGGCTTCAAGAAGCAGCCAACTATTCGAGCGCACAAAGCTGTGACAGTGATAGCACCAGCCACCATGATGACATTTTGGATTCATCCCTTGAATCAACTCTCTGAAAGGGACAAACCTTGGTGGAGGATTATGGTAAAATCTGTTTCCACTAGACCACTGCCAGTATTAAAGCAGCACGCCGAGGTCCCCTACAATGGTGTGTTGTAGGTAGGCAGGAGACCTAACTCTGCAAAGTCAGGAAGAAAAATTGAAGTGGAAAGCTTGAATTAGTTTAATTTCAAGGCATTTCAATACCTATGGAGCCAAGTGAGACTCCATTTGTCAACTGGAAAGGGCCCAAGACCAAGGGCATCTAAGCAGATTGCACACGTGTTAGCCAAACTGGAATTTATTTTTTTTTCCTCTTTTCCTCTTTGTCTCTCTCTCTCTGTGTCTCTCTTTCTCTGTACAAGTTTACAGTGCAACTTGTTCTGTTTTTTTTCCTTTAGTTTACCCTAAGGCGCTGCATGAACAATGCGGTCTTCTAATTCTCTTCTAACCTCTGCTGTGCCACATGGTGCTGGTCACAGGACTGCAGTGGTGTTTGTGTTGTACGCTACTGCCCATTCCAAAACGAGTCAAAGATGATGATGGTAACTCAGAAAGCACAAACAGTATTGTGCAATCACCAGAAAACATGACTGTGATATGCTGGATAAGTGCCAATTTAATTCTAACTGCCATGGTCACGGTGATGCGCTCCATCAAGTTTTTAGTAGACAAGTCACAGATTTTATAAAGTTGTTTTTACCACAAAGGTCTTTTTTAACCACCTGCCCACTCCTTGACAACAGTTTTATACCAATTATTAATCAACACTGATTAAAGGCTTTTTAGGGCTTCATTTGTTTGAGCCTTTTCAGTGAAAGAAGGAACATTTCTTATGGTGCTGTCTCACTGCCTTAAAACAGATTTCTAGAACAGTTTTACAGTTGGTTTAATTCCTAAACCATTGGTAATTTACACTGTTTTTTTCTTCATTTACTAATGAGAAAACGTCAGTTAACACAGTAGCCTCATGTCTGTATATCATGATTTTTTAAAGTAATGGATAAGAGAAAGAACAGTTGCTATATAATATTTTTATCTTGTGAATAGATTGCTCTGCCTACCCTCAGAAATACACAAGGAACCCAAACCCACTTTCACTGCCAACTAAATGCTGAGAAAATCGGCTCAAATCCATTTGGTCCCATGGAATAGAGTTTTTGGAGGACAGATATTTTGAATTCTTATCCAGCAGAGCTGGATGCACTTGATGCAGCATGAGCACAAATATATGTTGAGTTTTTGGTTTTTTTTTCCTTTTTCGAGTTTTAGCATGTTGTTTTGATTGCTATTGTTGTACATGAAGAATTCAGCAGAAAACAACACTGAAGCAGTGATGTCCACTGTGGAAGAGGAAGAGTTTATACTGTAAAAGTGGGTTGGTTTTGCACAGTCTACTGGGTGGGTAATGTAAATATTGGAAAAAAAAAAAAAAAAAAAACAAAAAGAGAGAAAAAAAAAGCCATTGTATAATCAAATCAAAAACAAACAAACAAAAAAAAAAATTGTATTTTATTCTGTTGGTGTTAAGAGATGTTTCACTTGCTGAGATTTCCTGTATGTTGCAAACAAATACAGAATGCAAACCTAAAAGCTGTTATTACCTGGTGTGTTTGTCCTGTACTTACAGTTGTTATGACTATGCAGGAGCTATCAATGCCACAGACAGCATGTTTCAATATCTATATGAAGCCAATACATTTTGGGGGGAAAAAAAAATCTGAAAATGTGTTAAGTGCTTATGTCACGGCAGGCTACAACCAGATTGCATTCAAACTGCTCAGAATAATCGGACACACTCTTTTACCGCAGGAGGCGTCCGGTTAAAATAGGTGCACATAAACAAGAAGGTATCTAAGGGCTTTGGCATTGTGTAGACATGTACTGCACACCTCCATGGATGTTACCTTCAGGATGTGAATTTGGTGCTATTAACTCTTCGTGGCCAATCCCTGGTCACTCGCTGTAAAACAAAGATAAATCAATGCAGTTTCCAAATGGCACTGAGCTGCATCGCTGAATCTAGAGGTTCCTACACGGTGCTATTGCCCTAATAAACTCTAACTGGTTTTATGCATGTAGGATTCAGTCAGACCAACATCATGCCCCCCAAGGCTGGATCCATTTCTGATGCAAAATGTCAGCGCATACACCTTGGCTGACTCAAAGAACTAAAGGAAAGCCGCTCTTTCCTGTACCTGTGCTCTGAGCAAACCTGCGAATCTTTTCCTGCCATATGTAACACACAAACACACAATATTTCATATACAAAACTTCCTGCAATACATCTCAGTGAGTCCACCTAGTTTACAACTCAGAAATTGTTTGTGAAACATTTGTCTGTACACATTTTATATTTTGTACATTTTTGATGTAACATATCATGTAAATAGACAGAAACAGTGAAATAAATCATCTGAAAAGTTTTGTAGTCTTTGTAAAGCCCTAATAATAAGTATTTGGTGTCATCGGACTTAACTGGATGATGTATTTTCTATTGGTTTATTGTTCCTCTAGCTTGTAAACCAGCTTGCGTATATTTTTTTGCAGGTGTGCGCACTGTATCTGTCTAAATTATTACTTTGCCATTAAAGTGGAATTATTTATTGAAAACACAGTCTGGTGTTTTTGCAGTCAGGACCACTTAACGGTTAGATATTATTTCAAATATAAAGACATATAAACAAAATGACAAACTGAAGGATGTGATTTTCTGTATTCAGCAGAACTAACCTCTGTAGAAACAAAATTAAGTACTGTTTCTAGTTCCAGTGATTCAGTGTGATTTTTGACTGGCTGTTTCCATGGTGGGAACAGGTTGTGCAGTTCAGAAACAACTTTACAGTCTCCCCGTTCTCAAGATTATCTTCAAATACAAGTCTATTGATTTCGGTGGTGGTGAATCTGTACAAAACTAATTCAGTATTATGCCTTATTTTCAAACTTGAAGGACTTAGAGCTACTTCCTCAGCAGGTGTACATCAATAGGATTGAACAGAGTTCAAAGAAAGAAAGAACAACTTTATTAGTCAGCTAATCACAGACTTTGAGGCCGGAAGAACTCGTTGTAGCACCTCAGCTATAAGTCTCAGCAGCAGGTCTGTAATTTCTCCTGAAATTGTCATATCCCTGGAAAGACCTTTAGACATAACGGTACGGAGTAGAAGATCCAGCACCTTGCTGTCAGTGTGGCTAATTATTCACTTGGTGGGTTTGGTTTTTATGGGCTTTATTTGCACTTAGATCTTACATATCTCTTTTCAAGAGAAAAATACTCCAGAGTGTCTCTTGCTGTGCCTTTTCCTCCTATACTAAAAAGCCAAGCACAATCAAAAACATCTTTTACATTTAAGTAATGGTCTTTCTTGCTTTTCTTTTTGATAAGACAAGCAGGTTGCTCATTCTTAGCTTTTCATGATGAGGCATGCCTTTCAGACCTCGACGCGTTTTTTGCAGGATTTTCTGACTACTTTTTGATTTGTCAGAACCCTTTCTGAAGTGTGGATATAAGAACTGCACACGGTATTCCTGTGATGATTTTACTTTTGCTATAAACAGAACTAATATCACCTTCCTACTCCCACTTCATATTTTCGCTGCTTAAGCTTCAGGGCTGACATTCACTCTCTAATTTCATCATCCTACTGCAGGCTCATGTTCAGCTCATTATCTACCAAGACCCTGACTTCTTTTCATGTTGCATCAGTTTGAAATACTTTGTCCCATCCTGTCTGTATAAACTATGCTCTTTGTGCCTTAGATGTATGACTGCAAATTTATCTGCGTTAAAACAGAATATTCAAATCAGCCCCCCCATCAGACGATTCAGATCGTTCTCTACAGCTAGCATCTGCCTAATTTACCACTCCACCAGCTTCCCTGACTTCCAAAAACTGCTAACCATCATCTTACTTTGTCTTTCAGTTTGTAGGTAAAGCTAGTAAGTAATCTTTTGTCAAGAACAGACCCCTGTTGATTCCTGCTAGGACTCTACATGAAGATTTCTGTTTTACAGCTACATTGTTGGGTCACTTAGGTCATGGGTATATTTTATTCCAGTTAACATGGGTATAAATATCAGAATGTCATACAAAACCATGTGCATATAATATTATAGGAAATATATGATGAGTTACATGGTTTCTCCATCAGCGTGGGTCTCCGAGGGCGGCTTAGATTAGTTTCTGTTGAAAATTAGATACGTAGAGCTGATCTTACACAGAAAGGGGAATAGTCTAGGTGACTTTAGCTATCTCAGTGAGGTTTTCCTATAATTCAGTGCTGCAGTCTTTGCACATTATCCAGCTGCCATTACTTAAGGGAAAAGATACAATATGAAATGTAATTGTCAAACTCATTCTGAGTCTACTGTCTCAGCATATCTACCTGTTAGCCTTCATCTGGAGAGCTGCCTGGTGAATGCCCAGGTTCCCTGGATGGAAACAGGAACGGGAATGGGATAGTGCAGCCTCTGAAAGAAAAGTGTTTTTAGCAAAGTACTTGAGATACTGCTCTTGCTTACAAGAACTCATTTTTTATGCTATCATTAAATAGCCACTGTGTGTCTCAGCATGCCCTGCTTTTTCCTGATAACTGAATAATGTCACACAAATTAAATGCTACCACTAAGTCTGGCAATGCAAGAGCTACAGATGCACTGTCATGGGAGAAATGTATTGCCGGCTAATAATACTAGTAGAAGAAAATAGAATCTGTCATGAGAGATAAATTAACTAAGACCCAGGCCATGTGACCTTGCCTTTCTACACTAAATTGCATTTACTGTTCTTTGTTCCATTGCAACCTTAAACAAACGTTGATAAATAGCAATGAGTGAGCACACTGAATTAAGTCTTGGTTTTAGTAACAAATTTCATAAATGAAATAATGTTTTGCCTTTGTCAGTGTATTTACTTGTTTTGTAAGCAGTTTTTATTAAAGCAGATTGCATAATTCAGGAAACTAAAATGCATCTTGACAATTAAATGCCAAAGCAGAAAGAAAAGGCACCTGGTAATTGCTACATAACAAAATAAAGGATTTACATGGTGACACATAACCAGCACTAATGATTTTATCATGCCATAAATGGATGGCTCTGAAAGAACAAAGCAGCAGGCAAAATACGTATTATCTGTATGACCAAACCCCAAGGACTTAGCGAACGAAGCGATTTAAACTAGTGAACTCTATTTTAGCACTGATAATTTAATGCACCTTAAATATGTCCAGCTAATCCCGTGTTCTGTGCTCTACAAGTGCAATGAAAGACATACGCAGACTGCAAAAATACTCTTCAGTGTGATTGCTAATGCAGGTTAGCTGTTCCACTCGTGTAGGCTACATACAATAAAGAGATGTGGCTTCTGTACAGCAGTCCCTGAGCTACCAGAAATAATTGGGTGGCAGAATGAATAATTTACCTCCAGCATTACCACACTCTTCACGTACCTGTCATCATCTTTAGTGTACCCTGTCCCTGCTTATTCAGGTCAAGCTAATGGCACAGTATTGGGCTAGTGGCACTGACTTGATTGTGGCTGGGGAAAGTCACGCTGGAGGCAAAAATCTTACATCTTAACTGAACTAACGTTACAAAACAAATGCATTTTTCATCTAAAGGAAATAAGAAATCTAAAAGCTGTGTAAAACTTTATTGTCTTATTAGTAATTGCTGTGATTAATCTCATTATCACTTAACGTATTACTGCTTTTATAGTGCCAATGTGTCTCATATACATTATGAATAGCTTTCTTGTGAAAACAAATTAGCTTTCCAAGCATAAAAATATACTGCTTGTTTGAGAGCTGGTTAATACCTTGTTTCAGACAACCAGTCTATTTAACAAACCGCATACACACACAGTAAATTTAATCTCTGGCTTAAGGGTCTCTGACGTTAAAGAACATGTTTAGTCTTACTACGTGTTCCAAGTAAGTGATGTTCTTTAATTTCTGTCCTGAATATAGATGGCCAACTAACTGCTGCAAGATTCAGCTGAACATTGTTAGCAGCAACTGTGCAAAATATTAAATTCTAGTTCTTGAGTATAATTGCATACTTAGACACAACATTCAGTAGGATGCCCTTTTGCCTGTTGCAATGTTCTCTGAAGTTGAATAAAACCTTCAGACTACATTGCTGATCAGAATGGAGGGAGGCCTCCTCCTTTTGTGGAGTAGAGCAGCTGCCAGCAATAAAACCTAAGTGCCTATTTGTAGCTGCAGGACAACACAGAGGTTACTTCACCTACAGGAAGATAGATAAGCTATAGCATGTGTTACTGGGTGTGCTGGAAGAAATCTTTTGTACTGGAAAAATATCAGCATCATTTAGCTGTTATCATCCCTTGCTCTATGTCAGAATCCATCAGGTAACTTTTATAATTAATCATAACATTATTTTACCAGATGTCAA